ATTACCGCAGAAATTGGAACATGTTTGCACATTTAATGGTCATGTAAGAGTCGATTTATTTCAAGATAAATCCATATCATTTATTATCTGTTGTAGGAACAGTTTCAACATCCGGTCTATATAGCTGTCCTTGTCAAGGTCAGCTGAAGAAAGTTGCTTGAAATGAGCTCTTGTCACCTACCGCCATCTGGTGACAGATTGAGACAACTTTATAGCAGCTTTGACAAGGGCAGCTGGATCGACATTGTTACTAACTGATGGGGAAATTACCGAATGGATTTATCATAGAATAGAATTACTAATAATAATGTCGTAAAATCTGATTTAAAACTTAATTGAATGTTTTCATTTGTTTGTATATTTGAAGCGTTTTTTTTAATGTGTTTGATTGTATCTTTCATTTTTTGTTTTTTTGTTTGTGTTTGTGTCCATGTTCATGTTCGTTTGTTTGTTTGCGTCCATACCAGGTTAACGTTGATCATCATTTCATAGTTGACTTCGGTCATGACGCCTGCATTGCTAGCAACGATGTCCAGTCTCCCAAACTGTTGCCTCGTCTGAACGAATGCCGCTGCAAACCGCAAAGATTCAGATATTTCAGATTGCAGAGATTCAAATATCACTCTATAACTCATCAACAACACGTACAGTGTTGTTATTATTATTATTATTATATATTATTATTCATATTTATTCATATTTATACACCATGTATACTATATATAGTATATACTTCACTGCACAGTACGCGCGCCACATCACACCTAATAAGAGAGGAATGGAAAAATAAAGGAAAGAGAGAGATACATAGATGGAAAGAGACAGAATGAGACAGTGAGCGAGAGAGATACAGAGATGGAAAGAGACAGAATGAGACAGCGAGCGAGAGAGAGAAAGGGAGAGATACAGAGATGGAAAGAGACAGAATGAGACAGTGAGCGAGAAAGAGAAAGGGAGAGATACAGAGATGGAAAGTGACAGAATGAGACAGCGAGCGAGAAAGAGAAAGGGAGAGATACAGAGATGGAAAGAGACAGAATGAGACA